ACCCGGAAAACGTCGGGAAAAATCCTCCCCCACCCGGAAAACGTCGGGAAAAATCCTCCCCCACCCGGAAAAGCTCGGGAAAAATCCTCCCCCACCCGGAAAAGCTCGGGAAAGGCTCGGGAAAAGCCTCAGGGGAAATGGGAAAATCCCGGGAGGAAATTCCAAGGTTGGGGTTTAAGGAATTCCAAACTCAATCCCTGAGATCAAATCCCTCAGGAATGTCCTGGAATTCCCTGTTCCCGATCCCAAACCCCCCCAAATCCCCTGGAATTGCCTGTTCCTGACCCCAAATCCCCCCAAATCCCCTTTTCCCGACCCCAAATCCCCTTTTCCCGACCCCAAATCCCCTGGAATCCCCTGGAATCCTCCCCAAACCCCTCAGGAATTCCTGAAATCCCCCGGGAATTCCGCACCTGGGAGATGTCCACCTCCCCGAAGTGCTCGTAGCATCCGTCAGAATCCCCTTTCCCTGACCCCAAATCCCCTTTCCCTGACCCCAAATCCCCTTTCCCTGATCCCAAATCCCGTTTTCCTGACCCCAGACCCCTCAGGAATTCCTGAAATCCCCCAGAATTCCCGGAATTCCGGGAATTCCTCACCTGGGAGATGTCCACCTCCCCGAAGTGCTCATAGCAGCCTTTCCCCTATCCCAAATCCCCCCAGAATTCCTGGAATTCCGCACCTGGGAGATGTCCACCTCCCCGAAGTGCTCGTAGCAGCCGTCGGAATTCCCTTTTCCTGACCCCAAATCCCCCCAAAATTCCCTTTTCCTGACCCCAAATCCCCTGGAATCCCCTGGAATCCTCCCCAAACCCCTCAGGAATTCCCGAAATCCCCCAGAATTCCGGGAATTCCGCACCTGGGAGATGTCCACCTCCCCGAAGTGCTCGTAGCAGCCGTCCGCGTTCTCGCCGCTGGTCCAGTCCCCGTAGACCAGGTCCCGCTTCTCCCAGAACAGGGCGGAGCTGAGGTTGAAGTCGGTGAAGTGCTCGTGCTCCGAGATGTAAACGTGCAGGTCCTGCCCCGGAACCCCCAAAAATTCCCATGGGAATCGCCCAAATCCCGGGAACTTGGGGCTTGGGGGTTTGGGGGATTTGGGATTTGGGGATTTGGGGGTTTGGGATTTTGGGAGTTGGGATTTGGGGTTTGGGATTTTGGGAATTGGGGTTTGGGATTTGGGATTTTGGGAGTTGGGAGGTTTGGGGTTTGGGATTTTGGGATTTTGGGAGCTGGGATTTGGAGGTTTGGGATTTGGGATTCAGGGATTTAGGGGCTGGAATTTGGGATTTTGGGATCTCGGATTGGTTGGGATTTGGGAGCAAATCCCCCCAAATCCCATTTCCCATGGCCCCAATCCCATTTTCCATGGCCCCAATCCCGTTTTCCATGGCCCCAATCCCGTTTTTCCCGTTCCCAATCCCATTTTCCATGATCCCAATCCCGTTTTTCCCGCCCCAATCCCGTTTTTCCCGTACCCAATCCCGTTTTTCCTGCCCCATTCCTGTTTTTCCGGGCTCACCATCAGGGTATCCTTAGGGAAGAGGTTCCTGCTGGCCCCAAATCCCATTTTCCATCCCCAAATCCCATTTTCCCGCCCCCATTCCCGTTTTTCCGGGCTCACCATCAGGGTATCCTTAGGGAAGAGGTTCCTGCTGGCCCCAAATCCCATTTTCCATCCCCAAATCCCATTTTCCATGATCCCAATCCCATTTTCCATCCCCAAATCCCATTTTCCATCCCCCAATCCCATTTTCCATGATCCCAATCCCATTTTCCATGATCCCAATCCCATTTTCCATCCCCAAATCCCATTTTTCCTGCCCCATTCCCGTTTTTCCGGGCTCACCATCAGGGTATCCTTAGGGAAGAGGTTCCTGCTGGGGCTCCGGGCGCTGCCCCCGGCCCCGTTCGGCTCCTGCGGCGCCGCCCCCCTCCGGAACCAGCTGGAGATGGCCCAGATGATGAAAATCCTGCCGGGAACGCCGCCAAATCCGTCAGAATTCCCAAAAAATCCCTGCCCCCCTTTTTTTGGGGATTTTTATTCCCGTTTTTGGGGGTTTTTTACCAGTTTTTTTCCCTTTTTTTTGGATTTTTCCTCCCCAAAATTCCGATTTTTTTTCCCCAAAATTCCTCTCTTTTTCCACGGGTTTGCCTTCCCCTTCCCAAAAATCCCATTTTTTTATGGAATTCCTCTCCCAAAATTCCTCTTTTTTATGGAATTTCCCTCCCAAAATTCCTCTTTTTTTCCCCAGGGATTTCCCTTCCCCAAAATCCTTTTTCCTTTTTCCCTGGGATTTTTCCTCTTCCCAAAAATCCCCCCCGGGATCCCCCGGATTTTTGGGAATGCTGGAATTCCCCCTTTTTCCACAGAGAATTCCCGCTTTTTCCGGGTGATTCCCAAGGATTCCCCTCCCCCCTCCCGGCCCGGATCCGACCTTTGGACCCCGGGGAACCGGGAAGGAGCTCGGGAATTCCGGGAATTCCGGGAATTCTGGGGATTCGGGAAGGGTCAGGAAGCCCCGGGGGGATCCCGATCCTGATCCCAATCCTGATCCCGATCCCGATCCCGATCCCAATCCCGATCCTGATCCCGATCCTGATCCCGATCCCGATCCTGATCCCAATCCTGATCCCGATCCCGATCCCAATCCTGATCCCGATCCCGATCCCAATCCCGATCCTGATCCCAATCCTGATCCCAATCCCGATCCCGATCCCAATCCCGATCCCGATCCCAATCCTGATCCTGATCCCGATCCTGATCCAGATCCTGATCCCGATCCTGATCCCGATCCTGATCCCGATCCCAATCCTGATCCCAATCCTGATCCCGATCCCGATCCCGATCCCGAACCTGATCCTGATCCTGATCCCGATCCTGATCCCGATCCTGATCCCAATCCTGATCCTGATCCCGATCCTGATCCCGATCCTGATCCCGATCCTGATCCCGATCCCAATCCTGATCCTGATCCCAACAGGATCCCGATCCTGGGGTGATCCCGATCCTAATCCCGATCCCAGAGATCCCAGTGGATCCCGGGGTGATCCTGATCCCATTCCCCATGTGCTCCCGTTCCCGGTTCCCGATCCCATTCCGGGTTCCGTTCCCATTCCCGTTCCCAGTTCCCATTCCCATTCCCATTCCCGGTTCTATTCCCAGTTCCTGTTCCCGTTCCCAGTTCCCGTTCCCATTCCGGGTTCCCATTCCCGGTTCCATTCCCATTCCCAGTTCCGGTTCCGTTCTCGGTTCCTGGTTCCAGTTCCGTTCCTGGCTCCCATTCCCGTTCCCAGTTTCCATTCCCGGATCCGTTCCCGGTTCCGTTCCCTGTTCCCGGTTCCGTTCCCGGTTCCGTTCCCGGTTCCGTTCCCTGTTCCCGGTTCCGTTCCCGGTTCCGTTCCCGGTTCCCGGTTCCATTTCCGGTTCCGTTCCCGGTTCCGTTCCCGCTCCGATCACCGGAGGCTCCCGGTGCCTCCCAGCCGCCGCAGCCCCG